ACCGGCCAAAAAATTTTTCGGCTAATTTTTTATTGGTGTTCCAGGAATAATGAAAACAGCTATAATAATTATAATGAAGCACAAAATTGAAGTCGAATCCTACCTGAAATTTACTGGGATTTTATAGAAATGATGAAGAATTTGTATATGGTTTACCCGAAAATGAGCATTTTTTGAAAAGATAATAAAATGATAATCTGGAGAAAGTTAGGATACACTTTTAAAAAATTTTATAGGGTCATGAGCTACTATTAAAAGTTTTATTAAAATCTTACTATTTTTTTAGTCCATAGATGTGATTAAGGTTGAGATTGTTTGTACTGGGATTATCGTGATATTTATCATGTTATTGTATAAAAAAAAACTTTTTTACAAAACTAAATTACAATTCAAACGACATAATATGTAGCTAAGGTTAAATTGATTAGCACTGAAAAAATTTTGTTACAAACCTTATTCGCTTTTTTAGCAACCAGCATGTGATTATGTGATCAAGGCTATGTTAGGTTTATTGAAATTATTGTGATTCCTATGTAGTTAAGGTTGAATCAGTATTCTTGAATTATCATAATTTCAATTGTAAGTTACTATAAAAGTTTGGTACAGAACTTGCTTTTTTAGTATGTGGTTAAGATTGAGTTGATTTGAAATTATTGTGATTTTGACTTAATTAAGGTTGAGTTGGTAGAGCTATTACCCGGGTTGGCTTGGCCCGTATGGGTCAGAATTTTGACAGGTTAAAAATTGGGTTGAGCTGGGTCAAACAGGTCAGTTAAATGGACAGATAGATTGCAATAACTGATTTTTTCCGATGTAGAAAATGAATGAACTCTAATTACGAGCAAGGTCAAAAGTTTTTTAACACAAACCCAAGATTTTCCAAATTAAAATGGTTATATTTAAATATATTTTCAAGCTTAAGCTATGTGACTATTGACAAGGGTCAATCCGGGTTGAAAATGGTTGACCCAGGTCAAACCCGGGTGGCTATTTTTCGACCCGGGTCACAGCTCTATGAGTTGGTTCATATTAGAGTTATTATGATTTGAATCATGAGTTTCTATTAAAAAATTGTTACTTGGCATTATAATAGTCGTAATTTCTGTTATGAATTACTTTAAAAAATTGTTATAAAACTTACTATTCTATTGACACAAAATATATTAAAGCTGAATCAGTTTGTATTGGAATCATCGAGACTTCTATTTAGTTAAGATTGAATTATTTATATGATTTCTCTCATGAATTACTGCAAAAAATTCTTTCACAGAACTTGCACCTAATCCGATGACTTGAAATTGAAATTATTATAATTTCTATATCATGAGTTGCATAAATAATTCTATTTAGTAACAAACATATGCTACTGTAAAATATTTTGTAAAAAAACTTACTTGATATTCCAGCGATCACAGTATGTTGTAAGAATATCTTTTGAGTTATTGTAATTTGTTGAGGGCTATTATAAGAAATTCCGCTACAAAACATAAGATTGAGTTAGTATTGAAATAATTGAGAATTCTATCGTGAGTTACCACAAAAATTTTGTTATGGAACTTACTATTCTAATGATCACATTATATAGTTATTGTTCTTTTTGATTTAGTTATATCGATGAAATTTCTAGATTTTCTTTTTTATTTGTCCACAAGTCCTATATATGTACAAACCTTGCATATTATAAATTATTATTTGTAATTATTAGCTATTTATTATGTTGTATTATAATAATAAACAACTTCCAAATAATATTGTATGCAAGATGTATGATTAGACTCATGAATTTATGGATTTATGGGACTTGTAGACAAAAATAATTCATGATCCAACTAAATTGAAAAAATGATAAGCTTGCATTGATTTGTCATAATTTCTATATCATTAATATTTGATTAATTTGCGTAACTTCTATTGAGTTGCTGTAATTTCTATTGCAAGTTGCTGAAGTTCATATTAATTTCTATTGAGCTATAAAAGTCTATTACAAAACTTGCCTTTTTGGTGACACATTATATAATAATTGAGTTAGTTTACATCGATCTCTATTATAAGTTATTGTAAAGATCAAAGCAGAGCTTACTCATTATTCTTGTGATCACAATATGTAAATTAATTAATATTTGATTTACATTGAAATTATTGTAATTTTTATCATAAATTACTGTAAAAAATTCTGTTACAAAACTTACTATTCTGGCGGTCATAGTATGTTAATGAGTTGGTTTGTATTTGAATTATTATAATTTCTATTGTTAATTACTATAAAAATTCTGCTACTAAACTTACTCACTATTCAGTAATAAGAATATGTAGTTAAAATTATCGTAAATTACTATAAGAATATTTGTTACAAAATTTACTTTCTATTCTAGTGATACATCAGTATAGAGTTTGTATTGGAATATAATACTATGCTTACAATCATGAGTTAATTTATATTGGAATTACCAAGGTTTTTATCATAATCATAAGTTACTACTTTAAAAATTCGGTCCCACACTTTCTTGATATATAATATGTAGTTGATTTCGTTTGTAGAAAAATTATAATTTTTATCTATAAAAAATTTGTATACAGAATTGTGATAACTACATTATGTGGTTAGAGTTGAGTTAGTTCGCATTAGAATTATTATGGTTTTTATGATGAGTTGCTATAAAAAATTCAGTTACAAACTTTACTACTTTGGCAATACACAATATGTGATTCACTATCTAATTAATCTGATAATAAAGATGCAAAACGTGCATAATATACGAAAGTTGGTTTTTTAAAATCAATTCTTAATTCACTATATTTCATATGAGTATCACTAAGTGAATACCAGGAATTGAGAGGAATCGGATCAGAAAGCGGAGCCAGCAAAAGTCAAAACTGTAGGTTTTTACTTGGTGATATTAATATTGATTATTAATTCATAGATTGAAATGATGGTATTAATTATACAAACAATCAAATGCCACAATAATTACATAATATATGATAACCACAAATTTATAATATATGATACAGTCAGACCTCTCTAAATGCATTGTGTCAGGACCAGAGTAAAAATTGAATTAAACATGCATTTAGTGAGGTAATGCATTTAGGTAAAAATCTATAAGTGTTATATTAGTTGGGCCCAAAAAAAGACATGCATTTAGGGAAGTTTTTTATAGATATGCATTTAGAGAGGTTGTATTTAGGGAGGTCTGACTGTATGATAAAAAAAAAAGGACTAATTTAAAATGATGCAATGTTGTAATTAGGAAAGTAACTTTGATAAGTAACTTTAATTCAAAGTTTTTCTCATAGTTTTTTTGGATATGGCCAATCAAAGCCAGTAAAGTACACAACCCCAAAATTCCCATATTTTTTTTTGGATTTAGATTGTTAGATAACCCAAAATGGTAAAGTGTGCAAATTCGAAATTCCCACATGGATCACAGTTTTTGTATATGGCCAATCAAAAACGTTAAAGTGCACAAACCTAAAATTAAAGTAGACAGATAGATAGATAGATTGCCATAAATGTGCAAATACAAGACCCGGGTTTGGTGCATTCTACTCAATTATCTCGAAATAAGGTATATGTCAAAATGGGCCCTTTTAATACGAGGTACCCCACATAATACCTGGTTTTTAATTATAGTATGCCAAATCTTCTACATCCCACATAAGTCTTTATCTATATTATAGTCTCATTATGGGTCCACTATTAAGGGGATCTTGTATATACACACTTATCTTTATATTGTAGAAGCTGTTAAGATTTACCAATCGGAAAATAATAAATGTATAAGAGATGTTCCAGTTGAGATAGGTACAATATTAAATAAAAGTGATGTTACATTGTTATAACCTATTTTTTAAGGCTGATAAAGTCTAATGTATCAAATTCATTAATGTACTATGTTATTTGTAACAACTTAATATAAATTAATTACAGTATATCAGACATTTAGATATTTAATCAACGACACTTTATATTGCAACTAATATTTTTTATTATTGACAATTTATTAATCACACTATGAAACATTTTTGAATGCTTAAAGATGATCAAATTGCACATTTTGATTCATGCCATACTTGGCTCCAATATTCGCATGAGTTTCATTTATTATTGCTCGATCAGATGACTTTATTTATATGAAGAGCATATAGGGATTCCTTTACAGACTTTACAAGCCTTATATTAAATATGCTAAAAATGTCTGTCTCCAAAAGAATATTTCATCCCAAACAAACAACATACATCTTATAACACATTACATTTATAACCACTATAATATATCATAGCCAGAAGGAATCACATAGCTATAATGAGAATTGGTTACAAAGTATTATCTGGCGACGTAAATGCAATTAAAGCATAGGCCCTTGTACTGTTTACAGCAGTCGTGGAGCCTAGCCACCAAACGTGCGATCCTTGCACCACCTACAGTAGCCGCGAAGCCTAAACACAAAATTAAGTTCTTCATTGCCTATGGCAGGTGAAGCCTAATTGCAAAATATGAGGTCCTTTTGCTACCGCAAAGCCTATTAGCACTAACCAATAGCTCATAAACAAGGGTCAATATATTGCCCTTAGTTTGCGAATTACTGAGGGCGGCAGAATGAGTGGGGCGATAGAGCAGCCTTCACTATAAGGCGAGCAATAGCGAAAAGAATGCTACTACAGTAACCAAAAGGCCCTTAAATACGTTACTGGTTACATACTCAGAACCATATGATTACTGTCCGTTCTCTCATAGTTATTAATATCGTTATGCATTCATACCAGATACGTACATACGTATTTCAACAATCATATGTAATCATCATACTAACCAGTAAAATACCTGATATCAAATTGAGCATGTGATCCATAAAGTCATCTGATCTCGCAATAATGATCATTATTAGTAGCTATACCACAAAATATTTTCTGTTCATGTGTTTCTCGTTACAATTTTACGCCTCATCACATGACATTATTTTTATTAAACATGATCAACCAATTTTTTTATTTTCTTTCATCGCTCTTTTACGTCGTTCTTTCCGTCGTTCTTTTGGTGATTTTTTACGTCATTCTTTTGGTGACTTTTACGTCGTTCTTTTGGTAGTTTTTTTTTTCGGTGCTTTTTATGCGTTTTTTCAATACTTTTTACGTCGTCCTTTTGGTTCTTTTTATGTTCTTTCGGTGCTTTTTTCGTTGTTCCTTTGGTGCTTACATCGTTACTTTGGTGCTTCTTTCGTTCTTTCGGTGCTTTTTACGTCATTCTTTCGTTATGTTTATATAATTTTTTTGGCACGTTTTTTCAA